TATTATTACTATACACACACACACACACACACACACACACACACACACACACACACACACACACACACACACACACACACACACACACACACACACACATTCAGAATATGTGCAGTAACAATAAAGATTATTTATCGGAGATTAAAGAATAATGGAAAAAATTAAAAAAGAACAAACTAAGAACATGAAACTAATAGTAAAACATAAAATTCGCATTTTATGTTTCATTTTGCACTAAAAAATGTTTGTTTTGCGTGTGTATTTATTTTTACGTTGAGATGCACACACAATGATAATAGTGTTTGCAACAATAAAAAAATACACAATATAAATGTATAAAAGAAATGATAGAAATAGGAAGAAACTTTTTTTAATTATACATTATGCATTATGGTGTTCGAGTATGCCTTGTCTGATAAGTGGTTCACATGTAGCTCTTGGTAACAGATGATATGTATTTTTTTTTAATGTAATGACCTCACCATCGTCGAGTTCTAGTTTGCCGAAATCACTTAGACATTTCACCTGAAAAAAATCATTTAATTATTAGTATCACATTCAATTATTTTAGTATAATACATACATACATAAAATCCATAATTTATATTTCATATGTATTACACATATCCAAAAGAAAGCTTGTTTTCTTCTATTAAATAAATTTTTTTAAATAAAAATTTATATTAATAAAACATCCAAAATTGTATTCCTGTATAATCCATGATTTATAAATAAAAATACTTATAAAGCAAGAAGCAAGAAGATTGTAAATTCAAACGAAAAAAAAAATGAAAAAATATTCTTGCACAATGAATGTTCTGCCACATATACGAGAGACTAGGAGAGAAATATTTACCTCAACATATAGCGTCTTTGGAGGATTCATATTCACAGTCAGATTTAATCCATGATCATCACCTATTGATCTCATGTAGGTGGCCAGAGATTTATTATAGTTCTGAAACCATTGCATCTCTGCATTCAATAAGTTGGTGGTTATCTCGGTTGGTAGGATGCTGCCCAATTCCCAGCGCATCTGCCGTAATCGTCTGATCCGATGATATAGATACGCTAGTATGCATCTTTTATTCCTGAGCAGAGCCGTATGGCGAAAATGTACCGACGGTAACAACGCGTTGTTTCTTTCGTTCTGTATTGCGTTGCTGAAACATTTTGGAAAGTCTGAAACATTTGCAAAAAGTAAAGAAAACTTATTAAAATCGATATCTAATCACTAGTGAAATGTAGCTTTTCCTGTAAATTACAAGACAGCTAAAATGTTATTTCATTAAATTATATTGTCATCATACATTGATCATACATACATAATATTTTACTCTCTTTTTGATTTTATTTTTCATATAATTTGTTAATAATTGTAAAGACTTTAATGAACGCCATATAACACATACTATACCTATCTATCAAATTGGCTTCATAAAGTGTTTGCATCTCTTCAAAAACTTGTCGCATCACCTGTTCCTACAAATTATGAGAAATTTTATACCTAATTTTAATAACAATAACCTATAATCCCAGATACCAAATCCGAAGAGACAAGTTTTGAGCAGAGTCTGCTACCAATTTCTGATTGCAGAAAGACAATAAATTGTATTCAGTTTGTACTATCAGATAATGTCAGCAAACTGCTGTCAAAAATATGACAAAGCCTGATAATATACTATGCCAGCAAGTTTGGTGACAGAAACTAAACAGTCTGCTGTATAACTTGACAGATTGCGAGTTGAGTCTGCTGACATAACCTGATGATAAATTGGCAGCAGAAACTGAGCAAGATCTGCTATTTTCATATATGACCTCACTGTGAGATGGACTTGCTTCTCGTAAAAAGAAAACGTCCAGAAGCCCTATAAGAATTGGTGTATGTGAATCAAATAGGTTAATCTCTTAGAGATTCCCAAGCTTTTTTGGAGTGTGCTTTCTAAATCTCCAATTATTTTTTTGATTATTTTAAAATCAAATAACTTTTTTATGCGTATTTTGAAATGTGAAGCTAATCGATAATATTTTAGCAATAAAATAACAAAAGCAAAATTAATCTGGGCTAATGAAAATCAGCGCGAAAGGTGTGCAATAACATTTTAACAAATAAATTTGTTACTCCATTTGATATGTTGATGTCTTCTTTATTTAAAGTTTTGAGAAACAAAAGTCATTGAACTCATTAAACGTTTCGATTCTCTTTAGAATCTTTTTTAGCAATATTTTTAATCCATATTAGATTTCGCGAGCGGACAAGATAGAGTTACTCACAGGTCACAGGTTGCCAAAACTGTAGTAGAATCTGTTTTAATTTACTTATTTAAGAGACTTACTTAAAATCAATCAAATAAATAGCGAGTAACTCATTCACACAATCACCAAATCTTGTCATGAAACTTTGGATGCTATTAATTTGACTTGTTTTAGATTTTCCTTTTGACTCTTTTTAATTCTTGTATTAAATTATATTTGAAACTATTACAATAATTTTCCGTTCTTATACTTATTATATCTGACTTGACATTACATATGTTAAATATATATATTATATATATGTTAAATATATTATATATTATATATGTTATATATTGTAAAATCAGCAACTTAATCTGAATATACTGCCTTTACATTTATTATGACTTATTGTTTTCCTTCGATCTGATCTTGTCAATTTAAACGCTCGTTAGACCTATTCATACTCCGGATGGCTTAGATGGATTTTCAATCAAATCCACATAAGATATATTAAAAAGCTTATTTGTGATATTAATAGCATCCAAAGCTTCATAACAAGATTTGGCGATTGTATGGGTGAGTTACTTGCTACTTATTTGATTTTAAGTCTCAAGTATGTGAATTTAAACAGATTCCACTACAGTTTTAGCAACCTGTAAGTGACTCTACCTTGTTTACTCGCGAAATCTAATATGGATTAGGCATATTGCTGAAGAAGATTCCAAAGAGAATCGAAACATTCAATGAGTTCAATAAGTTTAATCATTTTTCAAGACTTTAAATAAAAAAGACATCAACATATCAAATAGAGTAACTATTTGTTAAAATTTTATTGCGCACCTCTCGTGCTGATTCAGCCCAGATTAATTTTTCTTTGCTATTTTAAAGAGAGAGAATCCTTGTTTAAAATATTTATTTTTTAGCAATAAAATTATATTGATTGTTTCCAGTTTTCACACCAGTATACATAAATAGATAATTATGTATAATTATATATAACCATTTATATATATGTATGCAAAATTTCTTATAAGAAACCAGGTAGATTTAAATGAAAATGACAGATTTTGCTCGGTTTCTGCTTGCAATCTGCTATCAGATTCTATCAGCAAGTTCTGTTTGATATCTGCTGCCAGCCTGTTTGCATAGAACAGGTTCTGTCAACAGAACAGGAACAGAATATGACATCAATTGTGGTCTGCTAACATCTTCTGATCAAATCTGCTAACAGTCTGTCGACATCTTGCTACATTTTACTATCCGAGATAATATTTATAATACTTACATTAAATGGTCGAATATCTTCATGCATATCGAGCTCCGTTATGAGCTTAACAGCTTCTTTCCCAAACATATCTGTAAAATAAAATAAAAATATTTGTTATAAAATTTATGTTTGCCACTATTTCAACGTCACAACTTTCAACTTGTCTTTATTTAAGTGAAAAGACTTAATTAGCCATTCTGGTAATTATTCAGTTTAGCATCAACTAACCCAAAAATCAATAAAATTAGGCTTATTCGACTCGTTTTTGCATGAAATGAAATAATCTGGTAGAAAAAAGTGTAGCTCTGCCCCGCGAACCGAGATATTAAGCGTTAAAGTTGACAACTATTGAGGTTAGGAAATCTGTCACAGAGACAAAATGAGGGTAATTCTTCAAAAGAACTACCTCCGATTTCGATGAAATTGGGCTCATTCAACGCGTTTTTGTATGAAATGAAAGAATCTAACAAAAAAAAGTCCGAGACTCCTCTGCAAAACGAAATATTGAGCATTAAAGTTGACTGAAGTGTTACTACGTAAAATCGATTGCGACAGCCAATATAAAGCATTTCGAAATGCAAGCTTTAGATTGGCTGTTGCAACAAACTTACAATTGGCTTGCAACTAATGTAAAACCGGTTTTACACAATCATTAATAGGTGCATCCAGAAGCACGACCGCTTACTGAGCGTTCATACCTGTTTGGTCTATATTTTTAGATCTAATGGAATATGCCAATCAGATGCAAGAGCTCATTGAACGCTCAGGAAGCGGTCGTACTTCTGGATGTACCCAATTTGTCATGTAGACAGTGGAGTGTATATAGACTAGTGTTTATTGGGTCGAGACAACTACGCCGCCTCGAACAAAAGAAAAATAACATCTTAGGCTACGTTTCAAAACTTCTCCGAGGAAGATTTTACTCTATATGTTATAGCATCCGTTACGTGCACTATATATTTCGAGTAAAATTTTCCTCAGGAAGTTTTTCATAGCCTAACTGCCTAGAAATTGCAGCCTAGACTCTAGACAGTAGGTGCTTTCCGATTGCTTAACACATCTTAACACAAACGTACACAGGAATGCACAAAGTGTATCATTGTGCACGATTCAATTGGAACAGAATGTGTACGCTGTGTATGGTTAAGATCCGTTTCGAATAAAGTTAGATTAAATGTAGCTTTTTCCGTATGTATTAAATAAAAAGAAGTAAAAGTGCCGGCCACTCAACGTCTTCAAATCTTATTTATAATCGCCGCAGTTAGTAATATGTAATTGTCACTAGAAAACACAAGCTTACACAGCCCTCGACTGAGTACAAATGTGTAGCGTTGTGTCGACGATAACGGACAATTGAAACGCAATTTGTGTCGCCGTGTACACGAAAGTTTTTAGCAATATTGCAATTGGAGAGCACTCAATAAAAAGATCGCTCTAAAAAGACTGTTCTGACACCCCACTGTCACAGTATATACAGGCTGTATATATATACATATATGCTTTCCAATTGTAATAGCCCTATGTAATAAGGCTGTGTAAGCTTGTGTTTTCTAGGTATCGATTCTCTAACTTTTATCATGGTGAAAATGTGAGCCATCTCACATCGTGTGATTTCCTAAAGTCGGCGATACACGAGGCTTTTCTTGCTGAATTGCTAGTTGGATTAGAATCTTGCCACCATATTGGCTGCGATGCTAACGCAGGCTTAACTTTCATCATGGTGCAATTGCGAGCACTCTCAGGGAAGTTCGTTTGGCAAGAAATTTCTTGTCGAATGGTATGATCCGAGAAAGAAAAGCTGAGAAATAGAGCGAGAAAGGAACCACAGCCGACTGGATCGACTGAATTGACAGTTTTAAGGTTAAATATATAATTTTGCACAATCCAAATACAAAAATAAAATCGTGGCAATATACATAGTAGCAATTTTGTTACTGGATGAAAAGGATGAAGAGATCTTTGAACCACATATGAGAATTACACAAAGAATGCTTAGAGATATTTTCAACAGGATTGACTTTGTAAATAATACCAGAAAATCGTTTAGACTCAATTCCATAACGGTTTACTTTTAACCACTTTTAATCGAAGTTTGACTTATTCGTCATTCGTTTTCAATTCTAGAATTGGAAAAATATTAGGAATAAAAAAAAATTGAACTTTATGGCCGATTTATGCTGACAACTCATGAGCATCGTTTGTCTTTGTTTAACATTTGACAAACAACAAGGATGAAATGATTTTTAAGCGTTGTGAACGTGAATCGAACCACGGATTATGTTTCACTTCACATTTTCACGTTTTTCCCCACACCGTCAAATCTAGTGATTTTGTATTTTCAGTTCATCATTACAGAATTACGCGACAAACTCACGTGAGATGAAAATGCGAAAAGTGAGTGATCTCACTCGAATTACAAAATCGACTCCTTAGTGACAATTACATGTTACTAACTGCGGTGACTATAAATCAGAGTTGAAGACGTTGAGTCTGGTCGGCACTTTTACTTTTTTTTATTTAATACAGGCGGAAAAAGCTACGTTTCATCTAACTCTATCCGAAACGGGTCTCAACCATACACAATGTACACATTCTGTTTCAATTGAATCGTGCACAATGATACACTTTGTGCATTCCTGTGTACGTTTGTGCTAAGATGTGTTAAGCAATTGGAAAACATCCAATAGTATATACAACCACAGTATATACAAGGTGTGTTCGGCAATATAATGTTGCTCACCAGCGCAATGCACGACATGCGATATGCGATGCGCGACATCCAGGGAGTCGATTGTGTATCTTCGAATGAGGTGAAAATTACAAAAATGAGCAAATTCACTAGAGTATTCATAATTTAATTGGTCAATACTTAGTAACTTTTGCTAACTTTTGTAATTTTCACCTCCTTTCAAAATCCACAATCGATCCCCAGGTTGCCTTCACTCGAGTGCATCTATGTATCATTTTATCCTTGTTATTTATCAAGTGTTAAACGAGAATAAATAATACAAATGGATGCACCCAGATAAATTTCCAAACACAGTCCAATAAGCACATATATAATTTTTGCAAGTATTGCGACGTCGCAGCAAAAGTTGGACGAAGTTGAACATTTCTCGTACGCGACAAACGATCGCATATCGCGCATCGCACTGGTGTGCAAGAGCCATAAATCTGAGTGCGAGCTAGCAGATGGCGAACTTGATCATGTAATCTTCGAACAATCCGAGTATCAAAAATTAATTCCAAATGCTACAAAGTTGTAAACTGTCTTTTAAGGTTAGATTATAAAATGAAATTGTTTATTTTTATGAATAAATAAAAAATACCTATTAATTGAAAATGTCTTTCGCTTTACTAGAAACTGATAATAGTCTTATATATTAAAAATAAATTATTATACATAAATGTAACAGACTTATATGCAAAGTGTATTTTCTTAAAAGAAAATACTACATTGCAAAATAAATTTCAATAATTTATAAGTTATATCACTTGATTTATATTCGTTAGAGTCTTCAATATATTAATACAGTTTGATTTTATTTCATTCATTTATGTGTGCAACATAAGTTTTAATCTAAAAATTACCTAGCAAATTCTTTGTTTTTAAATACGTAACTTCAAATTCAGGGAGAAAGAAGAAAAGAATTAAAAACTTACTTTTCTCGTTAAATATATATATATTATACATAATGTACTTCATCAATTTTTATATGATAGCATTTGTTTGAGTGTTTGAACTCAGACAATATCATAACAGTTCAAATACTATTGTAAACACTATTTGTAAAATAGAAGTATTAAAAGAGATAAATGTGCGTTAAGTGTTAACGAATTAGTTACATACATTATCATAAATATCCAGGTTATGAATTTAATTTAGGCGAAAATCCGTATTAGCTCTGCGAGCTCGATCTTTGAATCCGGAGTGGATCGAGTAACTCGATTGACTCTAGAAATGTTAATACTGAACCAGTGATAGGAGATGACAAGAATTCGTCTGCTCTAGGAAACTTTGTGCACATGCGTAAAGCTGAGCAGTCTTAACTGACGTACATATTTCATGGTATTATAAGACTCCTAATAATGATATTAAGAAAGTTGTAGGGAGAAAAGGAAGGTTTTTATTAAAGATACATAGTGTTACGTCCGGCGGACTCACGCGACTCTTTTCTTTCATAGAGATCTCGAATTCCTCGAAACACTAAAATTTTATATTCTTTTCTTTTTTCTCTATCTTAAAAACTAAAACAAGGAACCCGGTATCTCCTCGTGAATGTCGCTCCGAGAGAAAAATCAATAATAAATACGTATGGAAAGCGTAAGACCAGGCAGATTAACGCTAAGATTAACGATCAAGTCGCGGACAATTCTCGCAAATTACAAAATTGCAAAATTTAAGAAACGGCACGCAACGTTCAGGGG